CAATAACTATACTTTATTCATCGCTTCCTGTGTCCAAGATATTTTAAATACATTATCTCATGAATAAGCCTACCCATCCTTTGAGATAGACATTATTTTCTCTATTTCACAAGTAAGGAATCTGAGGCTCCATGAGGTTAAATAAGTACCCCAAATCACATAGCAAGATGGAAAGAACCAGGATACCAAGACACCAGCCCTACATTCCACCACTGCACCACACTACCTTCTGGTCTAGACTTAGGATTTTGGTCTCACATCACAGACGGAACTCTTTTGTTGGGCTTGGGTTCACTACTAGTTGAGCTAAAATAACCCCCAGAAAGTCTAACTTCCCACAGATAGCTCTGGTTGAAGCCAAGCATGGGAAAAGCTCACAATAGAACCTCATTTAAAGTGGGTGGAGGAAGTCTCCTCGGTGCTACCATTTTCCTCTAACTTCCCAGAAGCCATCAAGATCTGAGAGCAAGTTTGGGGTTCACTTGAGTCGTGTCAAATGCCCAGCAGCATCATGCAACCTCCAAAGCATTAATCAAAGCTGACAGCATTGGTGACGTTGGCTGGATAACTGCAAAGTTTCCACTTTATAAGCACACTGTCTTATGCTGTCTAAGATGGACATGAGCTATCTCCAGATTTCCAATAAATCATTTCTGTTTCTTATACTTATATGAAAATATAATAAAATGGTTCATGTGCATTTACCCGTGAGATGACATTCAATATGCAATTCATCTCGTTTGTTATTTCTCACAGTAACCCAACATCCCTCCCAAGAAACAGAGGTACAACACATAGGTGAGACTGTTCAAAGTCAGGCAGGCCAATGGCAGACAGATAAATCTGCCCAGTTTTCAGAAGCAACTGAGTCACCTGGACCATGGAATCACATTTCATTTAGGCTGCAAAGCGATCGGAGGTCAAGGGAAGCTCTCTTGCTGTCCCCAGGTTCTGCTCTCCACCGAGAGCACCCACGATAATACCTGCAGCCTCTGGTGTGTGGATGTTGCGATGCTACAGCTCCCCAGGACAGCAAAGGTGGGAGATGGACACCTGTAGAAGCCTGGAGGGATGGAGACTGGCAGGCAAAGCTTTTCCTTCTGAATAACTCTACTTGTCAAACAGCTCCCCTTGATGACTTCCTGGCAGCCCTGACTATTTTATGGAGGAAGTTCCAGGCACAAAAGAGACGCTGTTCCTTCCCACCTGCTCCCAGCAGCCTGAGGGAAGGCATCTCTGGCTCCCTGAGGGTCAAGGGGAGCCAATGTGGCCAGAAGAGATGGGGTTTGTGAGACCCATGCCCCTGAGGTCAGCAGGATGGTGACACCTACCCCCACCCCACCTTCTCTCCACATCCTCCAAGAGCACGTGGGCCTCTTCCACTTTCAAGAAACTCTTAGAGGCAGACAGTTTCTGCAGCCTGGTGCAGCAGCGTCCCAAATACGACGGCTCTTTTCAAATCCACCTCCAAACCGCAGAGCCCACACTCAGCCCATCCATCCAAAGCTCCCAGCAGGTGCTCAGTACGTGACCCAAATCTCTTCTACTTCGTTTCCTACAGGAGCCTTCCCTCAGGAGCACATCAGGGGCAGTGCTTTGAGAGAGGTCTGTTCCCACACAGGCAGTGAAGGATTGCCTCGTCCACAATAATAAAACTGACCCAAAACAGCTGCCAGCCATGGTACACAGTGTCAGTGATGAAACATCCCTCCCGACTATGGTGGACCACTGCTACACCTCTCCCCACGACGTGCTGGGCCAGGGTCCCCACCCTCTAGCCTCTTTCCCACTCCTGTCCTCACATCAGCCAGCATTTGGGATCATTCCAGAACAGCATCTGAGCAGGTCCTGTCTCTGATTGACAACGCTTGCTGCTCCCACGGGCGTCAGAAGTTCCAATGAATCGAACTCCTAACAGCTTCATGGCTCTTCACCATCTGAGTCCAGCCTCTTTCTCCAGCCTCCCCTGCACCCTTTGCCCCACCCCATGTGTCCCAAGCTCCCAGTGCCTTGAACACATCCTCCTTTTCTTGGGTCCCCTTGCCTTTGCTCAAGCCGTTTCTGCTATTAAGAATTTTCTTTTTAATCCTGAAAACTCCGACTCATCCTGCAAGGCCCGGCTGATGCATTGACTTCTTTGGGAAACCTCTCCCGACCCCCTCCAGCCCCCAGGAGAATTCCCTACTCTTCCTTACCAGGAGCACCTGCCTCCCAGGAAAGCTAAATTCCTGATTCCGATCTCCATGAAACCAGCCGGGAAAGTGGACTGAAAGCAACTTTGGAGTCTTGCTATCTCCCCTTCCGGCAAGTCATTCCCTAGGAAAGCTGTTCACAGATTTTGCCTCCAAGGTAGGAAGGAATAGGAAACCCCCCTTTGCCTGCAGTCCCAGCTGCGCGTTTCAACTCAGCCTTTTACCCCAGAGCCCTGAGTTGCAGGATCTGGAGGCTGCTTTGATGCTGATAAAGTTGTCCCTTGGCTCCTGCATTGGTCTTTGCCTGTCACTCCCCCAGTCAAAGCTCAGGGGTGATGAGAGGGGACAGCAGGCAGGACCTGGGCCCTCATGTAAAGCCTGCCCCACTACCTGCGCCACCTAGCGCACCGTCTACTTGTGTCTGCCATGTACTGTGACCTCCTCCTTCCTCAAGAGATTAGAGCTCTGCTCACCTTTGATTCTCCAGGGCCTGGCTCATGTAGGCTTATTATAAATGTCTGCTAAAAAAGAATAAGTGGGTACAAGACACCGAATAGGGTGCTTCATCCACACCCTACTGATTCCCAGCCCCACTGCCATCCCCTGCCCTGCATCTTTGCCCCCAGAATCTCAATTTTGTTCAAGTTTCTAAAAGCCAAATGCTCCAAAGAAGTTGGGTTCCTGTCCAGCCCTACAGGTGACTCTGGCTGAGCCTAAGTCAATCATGGCAATCTTACCCACCTCTGCCAAGATTGGTTTGGGCATGTGTCCGAACCACAGCTAAGAGAGGCTGGTGGGAAGGTTTCCTCATTCTTAGGAAGGTTCTTCCCTTCTTGCCTTTGGACATGGTGCTGTGAAGATGTGATGCCTGGAACTGCTGCAGGCTTCTGTGAACACGAGGTGAGGGGAAGCCAAGTGAGCCTCAGAGAGCCGGACCCCCTGAGCCCTGCACCATGGCCGCGGGTGGCTGATTGCAAAAGTGGTTCAAACTTCCTGCCCTGCCCTTTACAATGTGATATTGAAGCCCCTCCCACCACAAGGCAGAGTCTATTTCCCCATTTCTTGAGTCTGGGCTGGCCTAGTGATTTATTAACATCTTACGGAAAAACCCAAATGAATTTGTTGGCCAAGCCAATAACCAATAGTAGGCAGCAGACGTAATGCCCCAATTCCGAACCTTGATCTCAAGAAGCCACGATGCTCCCACTCTTGCTCTTGGGCCCCTGCGTCCACCATGAGAAAAAGCCCAGACCACCTGCTAGAGAGATGGGAAAGGCAGGCACAGAGAGCTCAGGCTCCCTGGCCAACAGCCAGCCAGTCCCCCAAAGCAGAGCCACCTGACGATCCAGAGCTGGCCGCAGCGGCAGGAGGGGCACAGGTCAGGCGGGACCAGAAGAGCCACCTGGCTGAGCCCAGCCTAACCTGCCCGAACTGCTGAATTAGGAGCTAAAAATAGTAGCTAATGTTTCAACCCCTACGTTTTGAAGTTAGTTACAGAGCAATAGCCCTCCCTCCTCAAAACTCCAAGTTCTATGAGATGATAAATGTTCCCTGTTTTTTTTGCTTTTAAATGCCACTGTTATAGGCAGCCAATAGCTCCCTGATACAGTGCTGTGAGGAAAAGACGAGACAAGGCCCCTGCCCTCAATGAAATGATACGCCAGTTGAACTTAAGACATACTTTTCAATGAGGCTCTTTGAGGTGAGGGGCTGATGGCCTGTGTTTTTGTAGAAGGGATTTGAACATGAAGATGTGCATAGCAATACAAGGTCACCTCCACTAAGGACAGAGTGAGTGGACCCGTCCCTACAAAGCCTTCATGAAGGAAGTAGGGTAAGTGCTAGGTGGTCCTTGAAGGAGGTTTGGGGTTTAGAGAGATGGGGATATGAAGGGATGTAGAGAGAAGCAGGGTCCTTTCTGACCCTGGGAAGATGGATGTTCTATAGGGATCTGTTGTGGGAAGAGGTGAATGACCAGGAATTGAGCTCAGATGTGGTGCTTTAGGGCATGAAGGACACACAACAAAAGAATAGCTTTCTCAGTGCAGGGCCAGGACAGGTTCATTCTATGAGGTCACAAGGCAGACCTGGTACAAGCCATTGTCCCCTGTAGCCACCCTCAGAAGAGTTTCAGGGGTCATCCAGCCAATGCTCATGACCTCAGAAGTGACCGGGCCTGAAGAATGTCCATCTACCTGTTCATCCCTGTGCCCTTTACTTCCTCTTACCCAGGGGGCTTACTGCCAGCCTGGGGTGGGGTCACAGAGTTAGGCCTTTAACAAAGGTTGGATTGTAGGCTGAATGGATTTCACAAGCCTAGAGAGAAAGTAAGAGAAGTCCCTGCTTCTTTTGAGTTGCCACGGTCTGTCTCATCTCCCTCTATGTCTGGGCTGCCTGAGCCTGAGAGGCATGACCACAGGCTGCAGGGTGACACCCAGCTCTTCGCAGGGCCATCCCTCTCGGGGCCTGGAGAGGAGACAAAAAGAAGGCCACCCCTCCCCCATTCTCTGCCCCCAACTGCAAGCACGAAGGCACTAAATAATCCCCAAACCAAACCAGCTTCAGAATTAGAACCCAGGGGAAGAGGGCAAGTATTATTTATTTTGCCCAAGGACACTTCTTTCTTTTATTGAGCAATGATTATGTGCTAAATATATCTTATCTCCATTAGAAAACCCTCACGGTAGTTCTATAAAATAAGTGCAATGATCCCCATGTTATAGCTGAGGCGCACCAGGCCCCAAGAGAGAAAGAAAGGTGCCCAAGACCTCAATGCTAGCGAGTAGGAGAGGCAGGATTTGAACGCACCAGGTCTGAGGCTGCATCCGTGCTCTCCCCGCAAAGCTCTCACATGGTGCCAGGCGACCATGACCCCTCAGAGTCGGAGCTACCGCACGCTTTCCTAGGAGATTCGTTGTAGAGGCATTGTGTCTTAGGTGAGAGAGAAAGTGAGTTAGCACTTTAGACTTCAGACCCAGCTCTGTTACAAAGTAGCCGCCAAAGCCATGTGGCCTTGGGCTGACCAAGTAATATCTCTGGACCTCAATAGACATTTCTCCAAAGAAGACATACAGATTGCCAACAAACACATGAAAGGATGCTCAACATCACTAATCATTAGGGAAATGCAAATCAAAACTATAATGAGGCATCACCTCACACCAGTCAGAATGGCCATCGTCAAAAAAATCTACAAACGATAAATGCTGGAGAGGGTGTGGAGAAAAGGGAACCCTCTTGCACTGTTGGTGGGAATGTAAACTGATACAGCCACTATGGAGAACAGTATGGAGGTTCCTTAAAAAACTAAAAATAGAGCTACCATATGACCCAGCAATCCCACTACTGGGCATATACCCTGAGAAAACCATAATTCAAAAAGAGTCATGTACCAAAATGTTCATTGCAGCTCTATTTACAATAGCCAGGACATGGAAGCAACCTAAGTGTCCACCGACAGATGAATGGATAAAGAAGATGTGGCACATATACACAATGGAATATTACTCAGCCATAAAAAGGAATGAAATTGAGTTATTTGTAGTGAGGTAGATGGACCTAGAGTCTGTCATGCAGAATGAAGTCAGAAAGAGAAAAACAAATACCATATTCTAACACATATATATGGAATCTAAAAAAAAAAAAATGGTTCTGAAGAACCTAGGGGCAGGACAGGAATAAAGGCGCAGACGTAGAGAATGGACTTGAGGACACGGGGAGGGGGAAGGGGAAGCTGGGACGAAGTGAGAGAGTGGCATGGACTTATATACAGTACCAAATGTAAAATAGATAGCTAGTGGGAAGCAGCCGCATAGCACGGGGAGATCAGCTCGGTGCTTTGTGACCACCTAGAGGGGTGGGATAGGGAGGGTGGGAGGGAGACGCAAGAGGGAGGAGATATGGGGATATACGTATATGTGTATGTACAGCTGATTCACTTTGTTATAAAGCAGAAACTAACACACCATTGTAAAGCAATGATACTCCAATAAAGATGTTTAAAAAAAAAACATGAGAAAGGGAAGCTGGATGACGGATCAGACCCCTTCCCGCTCTCATGGTTGGGAGGTTTTCCATCTCTTCCACCGAGAGACTGTAGCCCAGACCAAACTAGGGCCTTCTGTCCCAACCCACAGCTTTTTGGAAAGAGGCTCAGGGGGGTAGCAGTGACGGGCACTTGGGCCCACTAATAACCATTCTCTCTGATGACACCCAACCAGAACGGTAAAGATTCACCAAGCCAGCCATTCCAGGCCCTGGGAAACTACACCTCTGCTTCCTTTGTTTCAGGAAAGGAGAGCCCGTCATACACCTCTTCCCTCCTTCCAGATCCCCTCTCCTCTCTCCTGGCAGAAAAGACGTACAGAGTTGTATAAGAGCAGCAGGCCAGAGCGGGGGCCCAGCCTTGCAAGCAGAGGACACGCCTTTCCTGAAAGTTGGTCCTTGGGGATCAAAAGTCATGAGGACATTAACTGACCCTCCACACCAACCCTCCAAAGCAATTAACCTGCGGTGGGCAGGCCGGGGAGAGAGAAAGAAGGGCACTCCGAGGGCGTCTGCCAGGCGGTGGTGTCACGTGTCACAAGGCTGCTGAGCAGGTGAAAGGAAGGAGGGGACCTGCACCTGCACCTCCTCCTGCGGGGCAGCACTGCAGCCTGCAGCGCCCAGAAGCCAAACCCCGCCTCCTGCCCGCCCCGCCCCCCTCCCTGCATCCCAGGGACCAAGGAGGCAGGATTCTGACACAGAGAGCCTGCAGTCCCTGGGAGCCGGTCCAGGATACAGCCTGCGCGAGGGAAAAGGTTTGAACAAGGAGAGGAAGAGGAACGAGAAACAGAGGTCGTTGCTTTGAGTCGGGGGAGAGTTTGAGCCAATAGTTGGTGTGCTGGGCAGAGGACGGCAGCAGGCGTGTGCAGGTACCTACTTCTGTCTTCCTCTCCCTGGTCCACCTTGTTAAGCGCCAGTCCATCCCAGATGTCCAGAGAGGAGACCCACCACTGCAGGGGCTCACAGGAAGGACTCAGGTGGGCCTGAAGGTTGTTCTGGGGGCGGAATGGGAAGGGAGTGGGTGCAGGAGAGAAGCTCTGGTGGTGAAGAGGGAACTGGGATGGGAGGTGCCAGCTAGGGAGAAGCAAAGGGGGGCCCTGGGCAGCTGCTGTGCTGGAGGTAGCTCTGCCCACTCCCGCCAAGCGCTAATGCAGAGGATCAGCCGTGAAGGGCTAGGTCTGGGGCTGGGGGTCAGACCCCTGTGTCCCTCGGGTCCGTTATCTGTTACGTGGGGTGGAGCTTGCAGAAAAGATGTGTTGGCACATTTCACGAGGAGGCTTTCTAGGGAGGAAGAGGGGCTGCGGTAGAAGGGATTCAGATGAGAATGAAAAGAAAGAGCCTCCACGCTAGAGAGGCAGCTGGTGGAGGCTAAGATGATTCTCTCCTGGAAGATCCTCTGGGAGGGGAGGCTACCCTTTCCCAAAGGGCCTGGCAGGACTGGTCTGGGCTGGGCAGGGAACCTCCAGTGTGACTGAGGGAGAAGCTGTGCAATCCTGGCCAACTCAGTAAACCTCTGCGGGCCACGGAAAGTTATAAAAATGCCCGCTCTACTGACCTTAGTGGACTTGTGATGTTCAGTTGTGAAAGAGCTTTGTAAAATGTCAAGGGCACTTAAATGTGAAGATGTAAGTCATTATCGCCAGAGCCTCTTAGACTAGCGGTCCCCAACTGTGGCTGCACCCTACAATCTCTTGAGAAGCTTTTTAAAAAATGTTGCTCTTGGGGGCTTCCCTGGTGGCGCAGTGGTTGAGGGTCCGCCTGCCGATGCAGGGGGCGCGGGTTCGTGCCCCAGTCCGGGAAGATCCAACATGCCGCGGAGCGGCTGGGCCCGTGAGCCATGGCCACTGAGCCTGCGCGTCCGGAGCCTGTGCTCCGCAACGGGAGAGGCCACAACAGGTGAAGGGACCGCGTACCGCAAAAATAAATAAAAAGAAAATGTTGCTCTTGGACCCCATCCAAAATTAATGATTCAAATTGGCTGGAGCAGGAAGGAGTTAAGACAGCAGAGGGGGCAGGAAATGATACTTTTTAAAAAGCTTCTCAGGTGATTCTGAAGCCCTGGAAAGGTGGAGACTCACCACCTAAGACCTCCCCAGGCTTCCTGAAGATTATCGCGTAGTGCACACGTATTAGAGAGGCTGATCCTCGGCTTCTCCCAGATCTCCTGCATCAGAATTTCTGGGAAGACAGGCAATCTCTGTATTGAACATGCAATAAGGCAGCCTGGACCCTCATTCTATGATAAGTCTGTCGATTCCCTCCTTCCCTGCAGGATGAATAATCACACCCGCGGGTATCACACTGCTCCAGACAGCGTGGGCGGAGCTGCTCTGGGAGGGGACGTGCCCTCCTCGAGGCATATGACATGTGTTTCTGGGACAGGGTCGTGCTAGACAGCACATCCCATCCCATTCCTGCTCCACTGGGATGACAACCCAATTATAACGTGACAAATTTCCCAGCCATAGAGGCTGGGAACCTAAGGAAAGGAGGATACCATGATGAGTTATCCATAATAATAACACCCATTAGCAGGGTTTTATTGTTTTGTCAATAGATGTCAGGCTTTTCTGCTCCACACTCTCCCTGCTGGCTCTGTTCCATTCCTAAGATCATACAAGCGCGTGCGCGTACAAACACACACACACACACACGCATACAAATGCACACAAATGCAGGGGTGAAGAGGATTCAAGGAGCAGGGGACTCACACCAGGCAACCGTGCTACTTGGGAACGCGGCTGGTGTAGAATCACGTGATGCAGATGACCTTAGGACCAATGGCTCTCTGGGGATTGCTCCCCATCTCACGGAGGCAGTATTAGCATCACGGTGAGAGCAAGGATGCTGGAGCCAGACTGCCTGGGGTGCAATCCCAACCCCCACTTTCTAGCCGTGCGATCCTGGACCAGTGGCTCCCCTGGGCTGGGGATGCTCACAGCGCTGCTGGGAGAGTAACTGAGTCGGTATATGCGAAGCTCATAGAAATGTGGCTGCACACACTATGCTGGGGAAGTGTTTGCTACTCTTAATTATTGTTGTTTCTGTTGTTGTTCTATGATAGGTGAGGAAGCTGAGGCCAAGAAAATAATTTGCTCCATTTATTCATGCCACTTGACCCTTGTAGGAACACAACCTAAGGATACAGTCATAAATGCGAACACTTATCTATAGGGGGAATGTTCACTGTAGCATCGTTTAGAACAAAAAGCTAGAAAACAACCTGAATGTCCCACAGTAAGGGATAGGTTACCAAAATGATGATGCATCTATGTGATGGTTATATAATAATTGCATGAGAGGGACTTCCGTGGTGGCGCAGGGGTTAAGAATCTGCCTTCCAATGCAGGGGACACGGGTTCGAGCCCTGGTCCGGGAAGATCCCACATGCCACGGAGCAACTAAGCCCGTGCATCACAACTACTGAGCCTGCGCTCTGGAGCCCATGCTCCACAACAAGAGAAGCCACCACAATGAGAAGCCCACACACCACAACAAAGAGTAGCCCCCGTTCGCCGCAACTAGAGAAAGCCCACGCGCAGCAACAAAGACCCAATGCAGCCAAAAATAAATAAATAAATTTATTTAAAAAATAATTGCATGAGAAAATTAGAGACATAACATGGAGATTTTTTTTTAATGAAACACAAAATGGTCTCAACAGAGATACAGATGCAGAGACAGAGCTAGTCTGGAAGAAAAACCCAGTAAAATACCGACACTGAAAGTCTCTGGTTGTGGGATTAGGGGTACTTTCATTTCCTTCCTTATATTTTTCTGAATTGTACTAATTTTCCATAATGAGCAGATACTACTTTTTTTTTTTTTTTTTTTTTTTTTGCGGTATGCGGGCCTCTCACTGTTGTGGCCTCTCCCGTTGCGGAGCA